ACCCTTTTCCAGGGTCTGCCATTCTGACATTGCTGTACTTGAACATGCTCTCAGCCGGAAATTATCACTATGATAATTTCTAGTCTACAATGAGATCGCATACTGATGGAGGTACGTGATCTCTATGCGTCCCCTTTGCTTTCCTTCGCCTCTCTCAGGAGCTGTGTCAGGACTGCTTTATGCTCAAGGCAACCTGGCATCCCGGCAACCCCGCCCTTCTGGACTGGTGTATCAATGTAGCCGTTTCCAAAAATGAAAGTGACAATAAATCAAAAAAGGTCTTACTTTCGGTGTTGTGTAAGGAAATGATTCGAAATTGGTCCAGTGACATTGAGCTTTCTTCCTTCAGGATTCATACCCACTCAGCGAATCTCCATTGCTCCACGATCCTGCCTCTTCTCCAAATGACTCTTAATATCTTCCACAAACTTCGTAGAATTCCCTTACACCGCTTGTTCACAATGTAAGGTGCCCCACTCGGTCCTGGTGCTGAGGCGGATCTGGTGGCTCTCACAACTTCTTGAATTCAGTGTATGTCATTTCGCCGAAGTGTAAACTTTATTTTTCACAGTGTTAAGCATGTCGGATTTCGTGTCAAAGAAAATGTATTTGCGGGTAATTTTACTGCACTACATTATTCAAAAGAAATCTCCAGCTGAAGCACACATAATTCTTGTTGTGACTTACGGCGACCAAGTTCTGTCGGAAACAACATGCAGAGATTGATATAGACGCTTCAAAAATAATGCTTTTGATGTTGAAGTTAAAGAATGCTCTAGCGCACCGAAGAAGTTTGAAGACAACGAATTGGAGGGATTACTTCAGGAAAACTCATGTCAGTCGCAAGATGAACTTGCAGAATCATTAGAAGTTAATCTCACTAGAGTTTCGAAACGTTTGAAAGCATTAGGAATGTTTCAAAAGCAAGGACACTGGGTGCCGTACAAGTTGAAGCCGGGAGACATCGAACGGCTTCTTGTCTTCAACGGTAGGAACGGAAAAGTTTGCATCCTATCATGGCCGGCGATGAAAATTGGATACACTACAAAACCCTAAGCGTTGAATATCGTGGGGCAATATTCATGGTCCGAAGCTTCTGCTTTGCATTTGGTGAGATCAGCTGGGTGTATTTTATTATGAGCTGCTCAAACCGACCGAAACCATCACGGGAGATCGCTATCGATTACAATTGTTGCGTTTGAGAGGAGCATTGACGACGCAACACTACACGTTACGAAACGATTGAAAACCTACTTGGAAATGCTTAAATAAGGAATCCTACCCTAACTGCCATATTCACCAGACATTGCCCCGCCCGATTATCACCTGTTCCGATCGATGGCATATGGCCTGGCTGAGCAGCACTTTCATTCACATGAAGATGCCAAAAAATGTGCCGACTCGTGGTTAGCCGACGTGGAATTCAAATTCTGTCAGAAAGATGGGAAAAATAATGGCTAGAGATGGACAATACTTTCAGTGTCGACATGCTAGCTTGTGTGAGTTGTGTAGGTTAGTCATGAATACGTTTACTACACATCAAACCGCGTATATGTTCAAATCAATTTTAATAATAGATTAAATCAGAATGATATTTCTAACTCTATGAAATTCATATATTTTCTTAGGAAAAAGAGTACATCTGATAATATAATACTTTATATGATTATTTGGAGATGAGGAATTCTTTCTATTCAAACCTGTAGGTTCATCATGGGTGTTATATTTACAGCATTTCACCCTTTGTAGTCTCCGAACTTCTTCAGGTATCTGTTAGTAACATTCTCGGAATTTTGAATCTGATGTATTTTTCACTCCACTAGAGTAGAATATTCTCATTTCTCTTTCCATATTTAGAGACTATCCCGTATCAGTTAATTCTTGTTTAGGTTAAGACAACTACTGCGGAAAGAAATCAAGATAATAGTCTATCAGCACATTCTTCTTATTGCTATCGATCTGTCCTATGATTAAGTAGTGTCAATATATATATATATATATATATATTGAACAATAAGAAAATAAAAAATTAAAATCATTAGACACACTGGGTTGTAGATTAATATTCTTTCGTTTTTTTATTATTATTATTCCATTTAGATTCCTCGACTAGTTTCGACCGAAATGGCCATCATCGGGAGGAGAAATATATATATATTGTGATCATGTGATGCAAGCATGGTTGGCTCTCAGCACGAACATTAATATAAAAAACAAGATTTAATGCAGATTTAATGAAATTTTTCCTAATTCTAAATGTTTTGTTTTTTGCTTTATAAAATGTTATTAATAAATATTAAAATCATAATAAGTGGAAATGCAGATCATGTATTATCAATAGCATTGTTAATTCTTAACATTGTTAAAATATATTGGGAAATTCTTCACTTTCACACTGTTTCCCTGTGCCTTTTCTATAAATACTTTCATGGGAATTTTTGCGATGAGCAATGGTACCTAGACTTTATGAATTTAAGAGCAGTACAAGTTTAACAAGATCCCATCGGTTTACAGTTGAGTCGGTGAGATGTAACAGTAAGTTCTATGAAAAGTTTCTTTCTCGCAAATCTCGCTTGAGAAAATCTCTTCTGGCTTCTTGATTTCCAGAAAATTTTGATCTTCAAAAAATTTTAATGCAATATCAATTTTTATCTACGCTCTTCCTGATTCCTATTCTGTTGATGTCGCTCCTTAAAAATGTTTTTGTTTTCTAATTCTTTCACATCCAGTAACCCCTAGTGTCTTAGTGTCTTTACTCGTGTACTTGGGATGAATTCGATTAATATACACACACACACACACACACACACACACACACACACACACACACACACACAGATATATATATATATATATATATATATATATATATATATATGAATAATAAATATACAGTTTTCCTTGCCGTTTACTACAACTCTGGGTTTCATGAACGCAGCAATCTTCAGGTACAGTATATCACTTATTATTAATAGTATAAATTTTTGCTTTGTTATTTTTCATTGAGCACTTTTATTGCCACCAGCACTCATTGTGAAATATACACACACACACATATATATATATATAGAGAGATAGATAGATAGATAGATTAGAGAGAGAGAGAGAGAGAGAGAGAGAGAGAGAGAATTAGACAAATAGATATGAACATATGAATATATATGTAGGTACGGATTTACTTATGTAAGCTCGTATATATATATGTATATGTATCTGTATGGATATATCTATGTATATATGGATATGACTATGTATGTATGTATGTATATATGAATGCATGGATATTTTCTATATGCCCCATAATTTCCCCATTTAGAAATGCTTCGCATGCATTAACATCAATATAATAATCAATGATTGAAATATGAAAATACAATTTAAAATCAATTAAATTATTAAGCAGCCATCATTGCTTTAAATTCTATTATTTATGCTTTGTTTATATTTTTATTTTTCTTCACACCCAGAATTTTATTATAATTAATGATAATAAAATATAAAATGTAATAAATATCTTATCTTATTTAGCGATCGTAAAATATATAATAAACATTACTTATTTTAATAATATATTATTATTAATATATATTTGAAAAATGCTTAAATAAATGTAAAAAAATGAATTTTATTGCAAAAAATTTAGTTAATGCCTAGTGCTTATGTTGCTAGATTTGTACAGAGTGACAGTAATTGTGATGTTATAACTCATATATCATTATTTATTTATTAATAATTATATTTTTTACGTTTGTCTTTCCTTGTTTTTATGTATCAATTTGCATAGATATTTGGACAAATTTTTCAAAGATTCATAAGTACTGAAAATAACTCTCGCAATATACTTGTAAAAACGTGAAAAACAATTTTGTCGTAATCTTAAATAGTTAGAGAACAACAACAGTAATAATAATAATAATAATAATAATAATAATAATAATAAAGTATTATGTTGTGAATTTAGGAATTAAAGCACAGTATTAGATTAGCGGCAAGGTTTCATCATTTTACAATTGAAATGGCTAAATGTAACCGTAAGTTCGATGCTAACAGTTTCTTCTATTGCGTTTATTCCTTGTGTGACTCTCTTTCAGATTCTAGCTTTTCAGCAAAGTTTGATTTTCAAAAATCTAAATGCAATGGCAATTGTCATCTTCTGTCTCCCTGAATTCTCTTCTTGTATTGTACTCTTCAGAATCCATTTTACATATTCATAAGTCTATAATTCGACTCTGCTTTGAATATTAAAGCCATATTAGATCTGGTGCTTCTGCTATATATTTAGCGATCCTTGATAAAATCCAAAGAAGAATCTGTAATTTTATTAGTTCAGATCTGGCATTTCAGCTTCAGCCACTTTCCCATCGCTGAACCGTACCTTTCCTGTTCTTTTTCTGTAAATACTTTCATGCTAATTGTTCTGATAAATTTTCCTCTATGCTACCTAAACTTTATGAATTTAAGTGTAGTACTGGATTAATGGCAAGGTCACATCTTTTTACAATTAAAATGGCTAGATGTAACCGTAATTTCTATGCTAACAGTTTTTTCTCGAGCATTTCTCACATGTGGAACTTCATCTTCTTGCTTTCCAGTCAGCTTTGATCTTCAAAAATTTGAATGCAATGTCAATCGTTAGCTTCTATTTTCTTAACTCTTGTTCTTTTATTATTATTTTCTTTCCTTAATAGCCTTTTTTCTGTCATATTCTATCACACTCAGTAACCCCTTGCGTTTTAGCGGCTTTATTGCCTTGCTTGGGGTGAAAGGATTTAAAAAGTTAAGAAAAAAAGGAAATTATCCTTTTTTGTGGATGCAATATTGATACCTTTAAGCATTTTTTTTCTAGTTATTTCCACCTTTTAATATTACTGAAGTATGGATATTTATTGAAACAATCAGGTTGTCATAATCTAGTCTTCACAAAACATGTTAAAATCATTCACATCTTAATATGCATATCATTTTGTATGGTTTTGCCGATATAGAGATAAATATAATACCCGAATCCGGTTTGAGGCATATTCTCCTGGAACCCCACCATATGTAATCAGCTGGTGCCACCCCTAGGGAGAAAAGAAAAAAGGAAAGAAAGGATAAAACTTTTAAGATATGTCAACTTTTCACTTGTAAAATAAACTGATATATTAATTCTTTAGAAAATACAATGTGATAAAGATAGATTTAGTATATATAAATTTAATATGCCTGTTTATGCAATTCAAGCCAAAGCCTCTCTGTAAATGAAAATGTTAACATGAACATTACAAATATTTTTAACAAATAATAACTCTAATTACAATTCGTCATAACATTGATGAAAAAATGATATGATCTAAACTAAACTAATTTTCACTATCATATTATATGATATCATCAATATTTATATGCGTGTGTGTTTGTGTATGTGTGTGAGTGTGTGTGTGCGTGTGCAAACTAAAGAACAAAAGAAAGAGTTATTTTACCAACGCGTTTCGTCCAACGTGAAAAATCTATCAAGATAAATTATCAGATTTCCTTTGATAGAGTTCATCGGAGGACGAAACGCGTTGGTAAAAACGTTCTCCTTTTGTTTTTTATATTGACTTTACAGATATATTTTATTTATATCTGACATTTATGCCCATATATATATGTATATACACACGAGATATATCCGTAAAGTATGCAACAATTTTGAATATATCGAGAATCGTTTGCGCAGCCATAATGTGGTTGGCAATTACACATATGTGAACAGGCCCTTATGGGCTTCTTCAGTTGGCAATAAGATGCTATTGAGTGAACTTGGATAATGGAAGATCGTCGCTTTCACAAGCGAATAAACTTGGACATTTGTCCGCGGCAATTATTCGAATGATTAAGGTTTTCATAGATAATTCAACGAGCGCATCCTAAATATAATTTGGAACCGATTCTTCAGAATTGGACAGGAATCGGTTGAAAGCGATTCACGTTTTGAACGTCATTCAACACGCAGAACCTTAAAAAAAAAATGAAAATGCAGGTTACAAATCAAATCAGTGATTGAGAGTGTGGTAAAATTGGAAAATTTGGATTCACGAAAAATATCGCATCACCCATTTTGGCAACCACTCCCCACCACTAAAGTCCAGATTTGCCTTTCTGCTACTTCTGACTTTTTCTAAAGATAAATTGCCGTTAAAATGGCAGAGAATTCAAACTGGAGAAGAGGACTTTGCAGACTATTTTGAGAAGTAAAAGTGGTTGACACCGGGAAAATATGTGAGATCTTAACGGGGTCATTTGAAGGGGAGCAACTAACTGCTGCCCTAAGTAGGCTGCTTTTTCGTTAATATTCAATGGTTGGATCACTTCCGGACAGAACTTGTAAAGTGTGTGTGGTGTATGCGTGTATATGTGAGGGAGAGAGCGCGCGTGCGTGCGCGCACCCCCGCTAAAATAATAATTTCTGCTTTAAGTAGATCAGTTTATTATTTGTACAGATTTAATACAATTATAATCAATAATGATATTTCAATTTTCCTTTATCCACAATAATAAAATCTGGGCACACACACGCACACACACACACACACACACACACACATATATATATATATATATATATATATATATATATATATATATATATATATATATATATATACACGAAAAAAAAAATCAAACACTGAGAAGGTAATGGAATAGAAATTCATATCAAATATTCCAACACATTGGTAAATTAATTACAAGTAAATGTAGCATGTATTTACCATAATTTTAATAATTCACAATTACAATAGACATTAAAATAAATATACACAATAATTATTTTGCATGCATAAATATTTCATTGCTTTTGGGAGTTATCTATCTATCTATCTATCTATCTATCTATCTATATATATATATATATATATATATATATATATATATATATATATATATGTATATATATATGTACATATATTTTAAATATATATTTTTAATTTAAACAACATCGACAAGGTCTGTTTATTCAGCTTTATATATTGTTTTTCAATTCCCCATTGTGGTGTTTAACTTTGGGATTGCACCTCATTCAGAAAATGGAAAGTCAAAATAAAAAGTTGGCCAAAGTTTAACCTTCGTGACGCAAAAGAAAAACGTACGATTTTTCAGCTGACGCCGCTATTATTTTGTACTAACTTCATGCCATCGGCAATGTTTATTATGTTAAAATGTGAGAAGTAACCTAAGATATAAAAATAAGTTGAGAAGAAAATGTATAATATCCGAAAAAATTATATTTATTCAAATTTTCTTGTTCTTTTGTTCATAGAATTTTTAAATAAAATTATTAATAAAAAACGTGTTTTCATATTTATTTATAAAATGCTAATTAATAAATATCGCATTGTAGTTGATTTACATATGTTTAAAATTTTGTAGATTTTTTTATAAATTTTCGAATAAAAAGATTTCTTTTCCAATTTATTTGCTAAAATAATAAATATTGCATTGTTCTTTGTTCACATATTTTTATAATCTTGTAAATAAACATTACTGAGATAGTCTCGATAGTTTAGTCATAAGCGGAGTCAATAGAAAAACAGTCCTTCTGAAACAACGGCAAAAAGGTTAAAAATTGCCTTAATGAATTTTAATAAAACTTTTTAGGATTAATTCTTCCTTCCTTACTACATCTTCTTCCATCAGTACGACTGATGCTATCCTCCAATGACCCATTGCGCCTTCAGGAGCTAACGATCTCAGTTGACATGATGTGGAAAAACTTCATTGAATCCATCGCTAGATCAGCTGTTAAGAAAGTTGGTTCAGTCTATCAGGCGGGCGAGTTTTTCTCTCCGGAATCTATCTTGCATATCTATAAGTTTACCATTCGTCTATGCTTATAATATTGTTGTCATATATGGCCAGGTGCTGCTACTATTTTTCTGGAGCTCCTTGATAAAAGCCAAAGAAAAATTATTGGTCCTGGTCTGGCGGTCCGGCTTCAGTCATTTAAGGTTGCTGCTCAGTGTTGTTGTTTTTTTATATATATATACATACTTTCATGGTGATTGTTCGGATGAGCGCATCGCTATCGTACCTCGACTGTATGAATTTAAGTGCAGTATTAGTCCGGCTGCGAGATCTCATCAATTTACAGTTGAGCTATCTAGATGTAGCCGTAACTTCTATGCTAACAGTTTCTCTTCTCGCACTTCTCACATGTGGAACTCCCTCCGGGCTCCTTTGCTTTCCAGCCAACTTCAATCTGCAAAAATTTAAATGCAATGTCAATCACTATCTACTGTTCTCCTGATTGCTCTTTTCTATTTCTCCTCATTACTAATGCTTCTATTCCTAATTCCTTCACAGCATAGGATGGGAATTGAGAAATTGAAATGTGTTCCATCTCTTTACGATTACTTTGGTTTGACGAACGTTAGCAATGAATTTGCTCAGTAAATTTCTGAAAGTGTGCAGCTTTGTTATTTTTATGTCGATCCACGGCTTGTTTTCATTTCTCAATCCACATTGAAATCCATTTGTAACGATGTTCTACACCCCTTCCCATCAGGATAGTTCTATGATTTATGCTGAATATGTCGGTAGAACTAATCCGAGTTTAGAGGCCAACATTGATCAGTTTTGTACCAAATAAGATCCGTCGGGAGTAGTATGAAAAATTTACATACGCTGGTTAATATTTCTGGCTCCGCACTTGTAGAACTCTTAATCCAAATTAGCATTTGAAACAATGCATTTTATGTCTAAGCAGAAGGAATGGTTGCTGGGTTTGCATGTAATCTGTCTGGGATCTTATTATGATTTATTAACAATTATAACAAAAACATATTATAAACAATGTAGTCGACCACCTGGAAAACACCTATAGTACTTGATTCGTAAATATTTATGATACATTCTTTATTTAAAGTCATGAAGCAAATAGTAAAATGGGATTTTAAAAATCGTATTTGTGATCATTGTTTATTTTATATATACACTAGCAGGCTTCGCCTGTTCGCTATCGCTTCGCAAAGTAAGATATATTTACTGTTTTAAATCTTTGACACAAAAAGTTTAAATGAATTCATAAATTGGCTTGTTATAGTTAAGGAAAGTTTTACAAACAGATGTAAACTTGTTGAAGTGCCAAATAAAATGCAAATTTCAAATACTTTTCTGTACTATATAAGACGATATTCCTAAATAGAACTATTTTTCATATGAAAATCAAAACAATCCTCGAATAAAAGAACAGTGATGAAGGACAGTTAATTAATGAAATAATTTTTTTTTACAATTAATATGTAAATTAGTTAAACCTGAAGACTGATATTACCTAAAAGTAGATAATATATAATACACCTGTTGAGCACATTGCGTGTAAATTAGGGCTGGCGCTTTTTAATCTCAAATTTCGTGGGAGAACTGGGCTTCAATTTCGCATTTATTCAAATAGATTCCGTAATATAGGTTTTACTTAATTAGCTATTATGTTTCACTAATTCTTCAAATTTTGAATGTGTTTAGTAATTGTAATTTCTATTTTCCCATCTTTACACTATATTAATTTTATCTTATAAATTGTCTTCTATTCTATCATCCATGAAATAAATGATTGTACGGAAAATAAAGATCTACGTACATCAAATCGTCTTTAAATTAAGTGGCAGCAGAAGAATTATACTGGTCAACACCAAACGTATTGCTTAAGTTTTTTGCTAATTTAGGATAATTTTGGTGTGCTGAATCCAGAAACGACATTGGTTTGCTCAATAAGATTAACTTTCTGAACTAAGCTACATATTTGTTTTTTGACGTTTTTGTTTACATGTACACATCATATAATGGAATATTCTTTTATATTTCTTGCAATAAATAAATTCTGAAGATTTTGCATGTGCCAACTTATGACTAATTGTTTTTTTTTATATTAAAGGTGAATGAAATGGCTTCGACTAAAAGATCTTGCAAAAATAAGCCTGACGTATTCTGCTACATCTGCGGTGAATACACCATTGTACCTAACATGAATCAAGTCACAAGTTTCATGAATTGTGCTTACCATTCTTATTTTGGTATTAAACTTGGTGATCAGGATAAAGCTTGGGCGCCATACATGGTATACAAGTCATGCACCGAGTATCTGTGTCAGTGGACCATAGGCAAGAAAAGTTGTCTGAAGCAGCCTCAAGTATCCTGACTGCGATGAAATTCCAGTACCTGATGTCAGAAAGTTCTCCAAAGAGGAGAACTTCCTGACAACAGAGACGAAGATTCCTCCAGTGTTCCAGAAGATGAAGTAGAAGAAGAAGTGGTTCTTAACAATGATGCTTCCACATTCGTTTTCCCAAAATCCTCTGCCGAGCTATTGGCATCCAGACTGAAGAAAAAGAACCTCCTCTCTGACAGTGCTCCGATCACGTTTTACCGGAACAGACATAAAGAGTTCCTCTGTTTATTCTTTGAAGAGAAGGACTTGGTGTACTGTACAGATATTGCTCATCTTCTGCACAAACTTGAAGTGGCACAGTATGAACCCAAAGATTGGAGACTGTTCACTGACAGCAGCAAGCAATCGCAGAAATGTTCTGCTTTACAACGCCAACAAGTTTGTCTCTGTACCCCTTTTCCCACGACTACACTGGCGGAGAAGTATGAAGTAGTGAAGTATGTGCTGGAGAAAATTTGTTATGATCAGCATGAGTGGCTTATTTGTGTTGACCTGAAGATGGTGAATTTTTTGTTGGAACAACAGTCCGGCTTCACCAAGTACCCAATGAACAAAGTGGAACTGGAAGCATGGAATACCTTTGTTCTGGTCGTGAAGAACGTTTTGGTCAACAACAAGGCCAGGAACCATGTAGAACTTGTCACCAATATGCTGACTGCTTTCAGAAACCTTGGATACAACGTGAGCATCAAAATGCTTTACTTATTCTGACATATGGAACGGTTTCCTGAGAATCTGGGATTAATAAGTGATGAGCAGGAAGATATATTCTCTCTTTATATATATATATATATATATATATATATATATATATATATATATATAGAGAGAGAGAGAGAGAGAGAGAGAGACGAGTAAGAGTAAGAGTAAGAGTAAGAAAGAGAGAGATTGAGAGTGAGATCCGAAAGAGGCATTCATACATAGCTAGATGAAAGGACACGCGTGGTAATAGATATTTAACCATCTATGTATTAAATATTTTACAAATCTACGAATATTCTAATTACTAGAGGTACAAATATTTGGTTGGTTCAATCTTCTATAAAGAAAATCAACATTCGAAATCTTAGTTTTCCCCCATGTACCAGATGCAAACAGGCAACTACTTCACCAACTAAGCAGGTTTCTATTTTTTCTCCCTTTAAGTAAGTTTATGCGAGCGTGCAAAACCATTTAAGGAAATGAAACAGATTTTAAAGTTTAAGAATTAAAATCCACATTTAATCTTCTGAATAGTTTCACATTGAGAGAGAGAGAGAATATCAGCGTGCGTTAAGTTTGAAGAAATACCAGTAAGAATTTATGATCGCTTCTACAATTTGATTAAACGATCGTACCATTTAAGATGCTTAGACACAATGCAGATATTTATTTGTTGCAGTAACGCCTAATGAAAAACAAACTGCGGCTTATAAGAAAAGGATCGTTCGCACTACAGTAGGATATTAGAACGTTTTAATTGAGATACGCGCACACACGCACATATATAATCTGAGTTACCTTGAAACGCCTTAGTAGCATACCATTTATTATACGCAGTGAATAAATCACGCTTACCTTTGCTAAAAATAGTGTTAATAGTAATATAAATGTTTGAAAATTACGAATATGTTTCTAGTTATTCGATACATTTTTGTTTTGATTAATCAAGAAAAATTTTCTTACCTGGTGAACTCGCTCCTAATTTCCCATTCAGAAGATTTCCATTGAGGTGATGGTGTGGATTCGGTAATAATGTGGGGCCTGGGGACAAGTCATACCCGTAACTCGGTCTTCGGCCTTCTCGGCGGTTTCCGTCGATCGCCGCCTGTAATTCCTGCGGGGAGCTCAGTTTGAGTTTTTCGCATTCGTATGGATAGAGATATTTCATGTACCTGAAACACGAAATGAAACAATAAACTTTCTATGAGAAGAGCAATCGGCTTCAGAAGGAAACAATTTGTTTCCATAGAGATTTTAATGTAGGAATTCTTTTATAATTTGGAATCGATGGAAAAATTGGAATATCGTTTATCGTATCTTTGTAACAAATATGATATAAATAAAATGATGACAGTCTTAAATATTGTTTAATCACTTTATAAATTTATGTGCTTAATGAAATTAGGAAATTTTGTTTTTAATTTTTAAAAACTTTAGTAAAGTTAATTATCCTGTTGCAAATATACTTTGTTGTCTTCTTTGTTTTTCATTTGATGCTTTTGTAAAGCTTTGATTTTTGAGAAAGCAATTTACCGTAGATAAATATTGAGATTCGTATATTTCATAGTTAGGCACAATTTAGCGTTTATCGATGAAGTTTGACGATTTACATAGGTGGATTTTTCAAAACAAGTTATTATTGGAACCTTGTATGGTAATATATCATATAGCAGTAAATACTATAGGTGTGTACGAATATTAAGTTTTAATCATTCAATTAGGTTCCTAAGAAGGTCTATATATATGCCGTAGTAATGTATAGATATTTTCTAAAATCTCTGAGAAAAATTATAGGCAAATTTGAAGTAGATGACTATTTAATAGCTTTATGGTTTATGGCGATTCCTAAAGTTTGTGGATAATGAGAGACATATTGGGATATGAACTTGTCGATTTATTCTATCAGATGGAAATGTGTATAAAACATCAGTAAAAGTTTCAAAAGAATAGCTCATAATGTTATGCACTGATTAAAAGCAAGCGACTCTTTCTTAAAACGTAGATTCTAAAAAAAAATGTTAAAGACATAATTTCATGGTTTTGAAAACCGGAAAAGTCGAGAAGGCACGGATGGATAGCGGCTCACTTATTCGCTAATACCCTTAGGAAAGGTAAGAATCCTCTTATTCTCCCCCAGCTGTGGGTAGATAGGACAGACTGGGTTCTATAAGGAGAAATGGTAAGCTACTGCGGGAAAAAATCTGCCTCGTCAGTCATGTATCGAAAGATATATAATCGCCTGGTATCAAACCTTTAAAATGCCAAAATGCTTGAAGTGTGTTTTCTATTGTAAGGCACTTTTAGATAAAAGTTATTGATCTCAAGTAAGTATAAAAGATTTAAGATGTTTCATTCTACTGGAAGATCTATATTGTGATTTCTACAACAGAGAATAGGATTGAAGGCTGAGAGATTATGACACACCATTTTTCTTAAACCAAAAAAATTCCGTAACACGCTTTAGTGAAGAACGTATTCTGTTTGATGTTATATTTTTTATTCTATTTTTTGTTTTTTATTCTTTACACTACAAAAGATTACAATTTTATAGAAATGATGATGATCACTGTTCAAAATACACACACACACACACACATACACACACACACACACACATATATATATATATATATATATATATATATATATATATATATATATATATATATATACTTACTTCTATGTGTGTTTTATTTATATACATGCCAACAGTGAAACAAAATTAATATGTGAAGTATTCTGAAGGCTGAGGAGACGGTTGAAAAAATGACTCGAATAATTATTTTAAATGCCATGTCTCTTCCGTACGTATACAATTTTTCCCTTTCTTTATTATCGGTGAATTGCCATCCGTTGTTGGGTAAAATAGTCGAATCCGTTGCTTTTACACGTTTTGGAATTCAGATTAGTCCTTTTTTCAGATTGGCTGCTTCTCAGGACCGTCTACTCTGTTATTTAATCCATAACTGCTGAGGACAAGAAACAGACTCAAAGGCATTTTTGCGAAAGAAAACGGGACCGAAATTTTTACCCAACTTTCCAATTTCAACTTTTAACAAATGTTCAGTTTGCAAGTGAACATAATAAACTAGTCGAGAGTTTGCTCATTAGCCAACGTTCAAACAGCTACCTAGCTATATACCCACAGATATATCACCAGACTTATTTAGTTAGATAGATAGATATAAATGAGTATATATATATATATATACAGATATATATATGTGTGTGTACATACACACACACACACACACATATACATATATATATATATATATATATATATATATATATATGCAAACACATGGAAAAGTAAACAGATATATGATGAAATATTTTGCATGTAAATAATATTATCTTAAGAATGGTGTATATCTCTGCTCGATGTGAAAAAGAAGTTTGCAATTTTTTATATAAGCAAAGCAATAAAAATTGCAGACATAGAAAACATTTAGCAGATTTCGTGGGAGATTTGCGATTTTATAAAGTTTTGTGGTGCAAACATTTTTAGCTGACAATTTGAAGGCTCGGTCGACTGGCGTCAGACAGGAATTTTATAACAGGCAATGAAATTCTATCTGGCTTTGTTTTATCAATCTGCCTCTCCTTTTTCCTTTATTTTTCTCTTGCTATCTATTTATTTATCTTACTCTGTATCTATCTAAAGGTCACATTTAATAGTGTTTATATATATATATATATATATATATATATATATAAACATGTATGAAATACAAATTAATATGCTTGTGTATTCACATCAATAACCCGCACAAATTCACAGTTTATAACAATCCTTGTAGAAACATATGTGTGTGAATGCATGTGTGTGCGTCTTCACTCTGCTTCCTAATCATTGTGTTTATCTGTAGAGTACTGAATGACCAGTTGATTTAATTCTTTTCTTTTCTTTTTCAACCTTTCTTCTGAACCCACTACATGATTAATATTTCAATGTAAAATTTCAGGCTCATTTATCATTTTTCTGAACTCGTCCAGACCAAAGCGACGGATGATATTTGGTATTGGATTTTTGTGTGCCTTACTTATATATAAAACTTATATTTAGCTAGTAACTTATGTATTTCTGCGTTCATTAACATAACTCACAAAAATCAGTTGACATGGATGGCTTCTCTATCGTAAGATTGGCTCGAACCCGGTCATGAATTAAAGTGTGAATGAGAGGATTCGCTGTTTATCCTCCAACTCGAAACCCCAACTATTTTTGAGACTTCCTACTCTGAGCCAGCTGAATGTGAATTTGAAAATATTATATACTTAATTGCTATGATGTAAATATAAACAGAATATAAATAGATATTTATTCTGGTATTCAACGTGTGTTAATTTGTGTATATATTTATTAATCTATCATTTGAGATATACATTATATATTTAGAAATGATCTTTTTTAAAACTACGTCAAATGCAAGAATGTGCGCGGAAAGTGCAATTGGCGTGCCTAGGTCGAATTGTTGAGTTCACTTTTACCAAATATCTTGGTATGAAGCCATCTCAGCACAAGGTTCTCTCTAGTCTTGGCTAACAATCAGTCTAGGAGAAGAATAACCGGTTGAGCGTAGGGCTAGCAAATCCACCCCGTAAAACCTATCCATCACCCGGCGTAGAGAGGATGAGGCCTTAGAATCCACAAGGGAATCTAATGGCACTCATGATACTAATGAGGAATAGGATATGTATATTTATATATATGTGCGTGTGTGTGTGCGCGCACTTTTGTGTGTGTGTGTGTGTGTGTGTGTGTGTGTGTGTGCATGAGTACCATGATGAAAAATTGTTAACATGAATTATGATGATGTTCTTACAGAGTGAAACGTTGATAATAAAATAAAATTTGTATATATTCAACTGCTTTTCCCAAATTTTATCTTACATATTTTGTTCAGATATTTCATAGGAATCATTTTAACATGATATTCTCTCACTTTTAAACAATTGGGAAACAAATAAATATTTTTTGAAAAATTCAATGATCTTTTGTGAATAAAATTACGTTTATATTTTTCAACAATTTTAAAATTCAAGAAAATTTTATTACGTCTATTTTGTAGATTGGCGTCAAAATGTCATGGCTTTAATTATTTTCTTTTAGTGACGTTGAAAGAAACTTTTAAAAAATAAACATAAATGTTGTCGACAAAATATTGTTAACATTATGCATCATGACTGAGAACTTCTATGTGATTTAAAGTGAAAAACATAAGTAAATATTAAAGAAAGAAAGAGGGTCAGGAAGAAAGGCAGTTTATATGGTAGCAGCTGTGGTATGGTTGGCATCATTATGAAATGGAAGCCAACTTTTCTAATTGCTGAATGGGTTAATTTCAATTGCCTCTTGTTTAATTAAAATTTCCGATTCTTTAAAATGACAGTTTCACTGAAGGTGGCGTCAAGAGATCCGGATTATATTCTTTTATTTGATTTCAACTACTACAGCCGCATGTTCAAATGTGCATACAATAATGTGAATTTTGGCAAGATATCTGCAAGACGATTAATATTGCTGCCACAAGAGGAATTGTACCACACTAGTTTTAGCAGCAGTGTCATTAAGAAAACGAGTTTAATTCCATGATTTGATTCTTAATGATCGTAATAACAACCTAAATCTGTGAAGACATTGTAAGTATCACTGTCTCTGTAGCTGTAAATAGTAAACAATTGAAAAATATTATCTGTTATGTAATGGACATATTTCTCTTGTTCATTATATATTTTGGGGGTGATACTAACTTTAAGAAAAATGCATAATTTCGGCAACATCAAGAGAATCCATCTATGGTGAACATCATCACTGCTTGGCAAATTATTTTATAACTACATGCACCTAGATGCAAGTGCGTGGGCGAGAGATGGCGGTGTTCGGGAAAAAAAAGTAAGTTTTATCTTCACTGGACACTGGAATCAATTTAACAAGGGTATTTATTAATATCAGATGAACCGAACTCTAACAAGTCACGAGACAGGCTTACACATTTTGAAGCAGGTATTCCTATGTACGTCTTTCTCTGTTTATCTTTTAAAGTGCATAAAGTCCCGAAAGATATGAGTGACCAACATTGCAATAGTGTTTGCATATCACACATGAGCTTTCTTATTGTGCAACGTCGTAATTCTGATAATCAGTTTGGTGTCTGGTATTCATCATTTTTGCAATACTATCATGAAAATATAAAATCATTTTGAAGAATTTATAAAAAGAATATCTTAGGACATATCCGATAATCTTCTCACATATGATCATTACAATGAAATAAAGCACATGAATGCACAAGTAGACCGTAAACAATGTATTGGGTCATGCATTACAGCTACCGAAACAATAATATTTGGAGATGTACAAAGCAATTGTAAGTTCGTGAATTTACAAAGGAATTCTTGGAAATCAATACGAACCACTGCCCAAAATCGGAACAAATGACCAAACATCAAAATTTTCAACACACCCTCATAATTATACGAAATTACATAAAAAGTTTAAAGTCCACCACTATAAAACCAATATTTATGTATACTTATATGCTACTGTAAGAATTTATATAACAATGTCAAACACACGCACACACACACACATATATATATATATATAAAAAAATATATATATATATATATATATATATATATATATATATATATATATATATATATATATATATATATATATATATAATGCATTTGATACCCTAATTCACGATGCCTACTTGTAGTTTCGTATATACTTATTATATAACTTCGTAATATTTAGGCTGAGATTTACATTAAAATTCGTGGAGGTTGGTATAAACATCAAAAAAGCAAAAAAAAAACAAAAAAACAAAAAAAGACTAAAGATCCTGGGTAACACATTTTACAAATATATAAACTCATATGCTTATAGGTGAATACGAAGTTTCTTATTTGTATGTTTCTGGGGAAAGACTTCAAGGTGTGTAAGCAGATCATAGAAAAGAAAGGAAGGAAGGAAGGAAGGAAGGAAGGAAGGAAGGAAGGAAGGAAGGAAGGAATAGGGAAAAAATGGGAAACGCTGTAAAAGAGAAAGGAAAGCGAAAATGAATGTAGCAAGCTAGATAGAGGCAGAAAATGGTTGAGAAGTGGAGAGAAAAATAAGTAAGAATTAAAAACAGAGGAAAATAATGAAAAAGAAAGAAAACACCGAAGTGGGATGAGTAGATGAAAACTAATGTGAACTGTTTCCCCTTAAGTAAAGTCACTCATTCGCTTTGTTTTGCTCTCCCAACAAAAACAAAGAACAAGGGAATAAAAAACACAAAAAGTTAATGTTGGTAAAAAGAAAATGATGTTTGTAAAAAAAATGATGAACAGACAAAAAGACGATGAAAGTGCGGACAGGAATGTTAGTGAAGATCACTTACTGTGTTCGCAATGTGAAGGCTGCGCTGGTAATGGATGAAGGCAAATTAAGACCTTTCGTTATTTCCCGCCATAGTTTTTTGTTTATAACTTCTACAAGTCCACCCTTTGAGACGACAAGCCGAAATAATTCGTAAAGGTCCAGAGTTTGCTTCGCCATAATAGGGATGCGATTGACTGGAGTACCTACAAACACAGAAATAAAACAGGTTTCTTCAATGATATTCAGAAATTGGTTGTCTTCAAGTAAGTATTTTCATTCGAAGTAATTAGTGAATTACATTAACAAGACAAAAACGCTAAAATATAGAGCAAAAACATGTAAAAACACTCTCACAATGTATTTATTGATACTTAGAGTAAAGTTTTCGGTCTGACAAAGAGATACTGATTTTTGCTCAAAATTCTGAAAGTTTGTGAGGCCTAGAACTTTTCAGAAGGACCTTGGTGTGTGCGTGTCTGTGTGTTTGTGTGTGTGTACGTCTATATATTCACTTAGTGTCAGGATTATTCGCCCTCCCCTCCCATAATTAAGGAGAAAGTTGAAGCTGTAATCCCTTCAATGTTCATGAAAATTTCATGCGCTTTTTCCCAAATGATGAAATAATAGTTTTCAATGAATGGACAGAAATCTATTTTAATCTCAAGCAATAATATCGAAACCATCAAACATTTAACATATTACAAAATTATTGGTCCTCTTGCTTCAGTAATCAATTGTGTAACGTTTATTCTGGAATATTGCATTTAATCGTTTTTAATACTTCCTAATAAGATTACTACACACTGACAGGTATTTTGATCCATTCAACCCTAGCAATACCTTCTATATTTTCTTAAAAATGGGTCCATAAGTTTTCAGTTGTGTTTAGATCAGAGCTTTGTACTGAATACGTCAATACCTTAATTTTGATGTTATCTAAATATTTTGTAACAATTTATACCGTGTTTCAGGTTATTGTCATATGTCCAATAACGCTACAAAGACAGCTTCCTACACTTTGCACTTTGATTAATATTATTTTTAACGATTCCCAAATACAGATCTTTATCTATGATACCATGTACACGCACTAGTTCTCCTGGTCTAGAAGTTGGGAAACATCCCCTAAGCATAATGCTCCCGTCAACGTACTTAATTGGAAGGAGGGTATATTTTGATTTGTGAACTTCATTCGATTTCTTTCATACATAACGAGAGTTCATGTAACTAAGTAATTCTAGCTTGGTCTTATCTGACCATATAACAGAATTCCAATATTCCCTCCAATGATTTCTAACATAAGCTAATCTACTTTTTTTTAGATGTTTACCTTTAAAGCAAGCATGAAGTTCTACTCGATAGAAGAATCTAGTGACGGTTTTTACGGATATATTCATTCAAACAATGTCATCTGCCGTTAAGTAAGGATTCTTCGAGATATGTTTAACAATTTTACTTTACATTCTCTCAGAAATTAATCGCTCTCTGCTGGTCCTGAACCTATTCTCAAACAAAATAAATTTTGTACTTGATAATGCTCGGAATTGTTGATCTAGCAAAATTAAAATGATTGGAAAGTGCTGTATATCCATCAGCCTGTTTGTGCACATCAGTTCAGCAGACTTGGCCATTGTTGGGGAACGAATGAATTATTGCTGTACGTGGCACGCACAGGGTGCTTGTATGCAGTCTTTGGGAATGAAATAATACTGGTCTGATTCTATAACATTCTAGAAGGTTCATATTAAGAAAAAAAAACATTACATTTGCCATAGGGCAAATTATTTTATAATTTTCATAAGGTGGGGGATAATTCTTGACTGCATCAATTTTTTAATCTATAGCTAATGAATATAATAAATTGGAACTTATAAAAAAGCAAGAATTGTTGATATATGGAATAAACTATCTATTATTAAAATTCAGTAACAATTGCAAATATTTGCATTTCTTTTAGAAAATATAGAAATATTCAGTGGGATCGAATAAATCTGAAACCCATTATATATATATATATATATATATATATATATATATATATATATATATATATATATATATATATATATATATATATATATATATATATATATATATATATATATATATATATATATATATATTATATATAAGAACAAAAAAATACTAAAAAATTAAAATCTTCAGACACAGTGGGTTGTATATTAATATTCCTTCGTTTTTATTATTATTTCATTTAGATTCCTCGACTAGTTTCGGCTAACATGGCCATCATCAGGAGAAAAATAATTTTCTGCTTGTTGGTAGCAGTGAACTGCAGAAATAAATGTCTTGATGGAGAAAATTAACTTTTCTCTGTAGTTTTCATTTGTTTTTTTTTATTTTTTAACGCGAATTTTGGTCAGTCTTTGTGTTGGTCAAATAGTCTCTTTTAAGTTGTTGCTTGAAATAAGAGCTGGATGTATTCATGCTGCTCTGAATTCTCTTGGTCATTTTGACAGTGTTATTGGTTCCTGGAAAGGGGATGTGTCTCTGTTGTGTGTGTGTTATTTGGTTCTTAAGGAGTGAGTGAGTATGATGTGTGTAAGCGTTTATATTACTATGGGTCTGTGTTATCATTTGGCTCATTAGAGAGTGAGTGAGTATGATGTGTGTGTGTGTGTGTGTAAAATAATAAGTAATTAAACCGGTTCGTTCTACTAAGCAATTTTAGAAGTTACTAGAATCAGTTTACCTTAAAAACCAGCATTCAAAATCATGATTTTACCTGTTCTTCAATACCAGTTACTACCATTAGTAAAAAATATGTAACCATTCATCATCTCATATCAATATTAAAATATTATATGTATGTGGTGGTCGGGTCAATATATACAATTGTAGATCTGAGTATATAAACATGCATATATTCTGCATTTATATATATATATATATATATATATATATATATATATATATATATATATATATATATATATGCATCGCTTATGTCTATATACATATGTACATTGGTAAGTTTTTCTCGAAATTCCAGATTTCCTTTCTCAGCATAATACCGATCTTATTTATCTTCAGGCCTCATTCTTGTTTTTCTCTATTCTGACGATATTAACTAATTCTAAGCTTGCTTTATTATTATTATTATTATTATTATTATTATTATTTCGTTGTGTTTCTGTTATACAAACATTCCCTTCTGGATCCCAAATAGAGATATAAATGTCAGAAATGGCTTCATGGCATCTTCCACTGATCTTTATTTATAACAAAACAATAACAACAAAATCTAAGATCACACACATCTTACATAGATAAATCTCTTCTTAATGTGTGAACTGTACTGTGAGTACATTTTTTTGTATTTAAGTCATGGCCTAGCAGGAAACCCTTCAATGAGTCTATCAAAATATTTCCAATCAATCTGAGCGCTCCAACTACAACTGGAATTATTGATGTGACACATTTTTGAGATTTTGGTTTCATGATCCTTGTATTTTGATAGTTTTCAAAGATATGTTACAATTTGCAGGGACTGCCATATCAGTAAGAAAGCACATTCTCTCATTGTGGTCTTTGATCACGATGTCTGGGTGATTAGCTTTGAGTATTGTGTTTGTGGGTATTGTAAAGTCACATAAAACTGTTATAGGTCCTATCTTTTCCTTCCCGTAAAAGTTGCATATTTTCTAGTGCCCTCTATCATGCCGAGTTTTATATGCAGTGGGTGCTAATATTGTGCAGATCAACACAGGTTTTCAGTACACGTGCTTAGTAATTTCTAGTTAGCAGACATTGGTCTTTTGCCGCAAGAACTAAACCTTCGGTTTCAGCTTTTAACTAATAGGTAAGGGGTTTGTCTACATCAGCTTGTTTGGTACGGGTAGAGTACTGACGATGAAGAGGCACATCTTGGCATCTTTTCTGCATTTGGTGTATTGCATTTGTTTTTACTTTCTTTTTTAAGTTAATTGACGCTGCAGTAGGTGACATGGTTTATTTGCATTTCTTCACCCACTTCAAATTTCCTTTTGAATTTGTTTGCTTCCTTTTTTTACTAAATAAAGTGTCCTATTTCTTTCATGTTCTTTGACACAGATCATCATTCAGTCTTCTGTAGCTTCCAGGTATCTTTGAAGAACGGTTCGTATGGTTTTGTAAGACAGTTCTAGTTGAACTAATCCTCTGCCTCATTCGGATCTTGGCGCATACAGACGATGGACAACAGCCTTAGGATGATGAATGTATACGGTGGACATTTTTGAGATTTCGATTTCAAAGTCCTTATATTTTGATATTTTGAAGATCTTCAAATATACATTGCAGTCTGCAGGGACGGTAATGCCAATAAGGAGGCACATATTATTATTATTATTATTATTATTATTATATAATTATGCATTATTATTATCATATTATATAATTATATATTATTATTGGTATTATTATTATTTATGCGTGGTCAGCAATTTACTTCTTTTAATGAAACTTTCAGATTAATTTGTCTATTTTACGAAGAGGCCTGTATATATCACCATGAATACTTGAATTTATTACTTTGATCTTTTTCTGGTGTAGAGACTCATTTTCAAAATCTTTCTTCTGAGTTAGTTTTGCTGTCCTTGCAGTTCCTTTTTGTTTTGTTGCCATTGGAGGCTTTCATATCTTAGAAGATACGGTTTAGTCATTATTATCAAAATAATATATAAAATAATCTCCCAAGTCAGAATTTGTGTAACACCACAATTTTTGTATCAAACTATTTTGTATATTAAAATATTGGATCCACCAATTTGACAAGATTAATTTAAATATTAAAAATTTGACAATCCCTGCACCATGTCGGTTACCCTGGAAAGATAGACAGCAAGATAAATGTTGTGCATATAAACAATGTCTCTTTAGTACAAATTTATACAAATATACCTACATGCATTCGTATCTACATATAAGTTACTTATATACGTACTTATATACTTTTAAAATTTTAAATATTTTATGGAGAATATGTATATATAATGTATATATTCCTTTTATAGTTAATTTCGATATGAAGTAATCTTTGAAATAAAAACAAATGCCTGATCTTGTGCAAATCGGACTTCACTAACGTTTGCATGCCTTGATATGTGTAATTATATAATCTATTCGTATGCTTTCTAAATGCTGATCAGATTCTATTCGTAAAAATGATGAAATAT